CTTAGGACTTCCAGTACTATGTTAAATAGACATGATAACATCTTGCTCCCTATCATAAAGGAAAATCTTTCAAGCTTTCACCATCAAGTATGAGTTAGCTATGAACTTTCATATGTGACTTTTATTACACAAAAGTACATTCCCCCATATCCAATTTTTAGTGTTTTTATCATGAAAAGATCTTGTATTTTGTGAAATGCATCAACTGAAATGATCATCCACTTTTAATCTTTTATGCTATGAGTGTGGTAAACCATATTCATTGATTTGTATATATTAAACCATCCTTGCATCCCAGGTATAAATCCCACTTGCTCAAAAAGAATGCTTAAAATTACTAAAATTATTTTCTTCCTAAATATTGGAATGAAATGAATTATTGTAGAAGTTTATCTTGCTTATCCTTTGGGTTCTGGAATGCTGTGATATGTCATTCTCTGTCCACAAGGGGATGGTACACAGTCCCTGATAAGAAGCCCAGAGAGTGATGCCTGATGCAGCTGTGGCTCTTCCCACATTATAGATAGGAAACTAGACTTTGAGTGATTAACTCCTCCAAGTTCATATAATCAGAAAGTAAAAGTTAAAAGTCAAACCCAGTCTGTATATTTTTAAAAGCTTATTGTGGAGTCTACTGTCAATCTGAGCTCTACCTACTTCATTTGCATGTAAAATGCCATAAACGATCTTTCTTCTTTTAGAAAAGATTAAAAGCAGTTTGAACATAAATACCTTGCCTATTTCATAATGTGGCTCTAAGGTCAAAATATTCCATTTGCCCGGGTAAAGCTCAAAAACCATAAAATTCTAGATACAATAATGCAAGCTGTTATTAGCTTTCCCAAAACATTTCACAAGGTCAAACCACTCAATTGGCTCAACAAATTCTGAAATGAAAGGACTCAATGGAATAGAAATAAAGGCACTGGGGGCTTTTGGTTACTAGAAACTCATCACCAGGATGAGATTTAAGATTTAAGAATCAAAACAATCATTGCATAGGGCCTCCCTGGTGGTGCAAAGGGTAAAAGCACAGCACTATGAAGCTACCCACAGCCACTGCAGCACCAGTTCCACACCCAGCCAGGGAGTGACCCACAGGGCACAGCAGACCTCTCCGGTCTCCCCGCTGCTCCCCTCAGCAGTGTATTTCAGTAGATCTGCCTGTCCTGCTCCCCACTCTGTCTCTGGTGAATCATCTCACACGCTGCATCTCTGGCCTGTACCACAGTTCTTTTTTGCATAAATAAATAATTCTTTAAAAAAAAAACACATTATCGAATAGCGTGGTCCCCTTACCCCAACTCCAAACTCCAACATGTGCACCACAGACCGTCTGGAGCCCTGAGCGTCAGTCATCTCACTTGATGCCCTGCGGTTACCCTTCCCCATCACAGGGCAGAGGGACAGGCACATGAGGTTGAGAACTGCCCACCCTCTCCCACTGTGCAACTACAGAGCGTGGTGCTCAACCCCCACGAACTCTTTACCATGTGGTTGCCGGACCTCAGGAGCCTCACTGCTCTTTGCTCTTTGTATATTGTCTCTAGTGAGGGGTGGGCACCAGTGATGTGGCTAGAGCCTGAGGTGATTCTAGGATCCCTGGCTTGGGATGAATTCACATCCACTCATGCAGCGAGAAACTTACTCTGCTTCCAACTCTGTCCTGGTTCTTTTGGTTCTTCATGCAGCTGGTCTGCTTGGCTCCCCTGAGACTTTAACAACCCACCCCCAACCCCCGCGCCAGTATCCACTTTACACCAGGAAAGAGAAGGTCTCAGACTCAGGACCTAGGATGTGGCTAGTATTTAAGCATAGAGCTTTATCTTCATGTCACTGGTTTTTTACAATGACTGTATTATTTACAAATAATAGATACTAACGTATTTAGTGAGTGAAATAAAGTTTCTCCTATAACAAATGCAATTAAATTTGTGTCAGCTTAAAATATAAGACACTATTTCAGATACCATGGAGATCTGGCAGAATTTGTGCGTGAGATACAGGATGATGGTCTCCTGAGAAATTGTTTCCTCTCTGAACCCTGCATTCAGGGGTAGTTGCATTTTGTAGTGCTGACTGCCCAGCTGTGGACAGAGCATGGACGCTGTGCCAGCGGCTCCTTTTACCATTCTGGGGTCTCTTGGCTGCTAAACAGAGAGGTCTGGGCCATCCTCACTGCCTGCTGCAGGGCCTCCCCTCTCAGCCAGCAGGCTTCTGGGTATGGACCAGCAGTCTGCTACATAGTGATGCTTTCTGATGGGTAGGCCATCTGGGTTCAGAGAGGACTGAGAGAATTGATGAGGGAGTTAGAGCCTAGTGGAGTGGGGATAAAGGTGACAGGATAAAAGAGTAGGAAACATTGTTACTCTAGTGAAGAAGTGAGGATCCCTTCAGAAGCAAAATGAAAATGTGACATTCATTACCCAGGAAAATGCACACGCATGTACATGTGTGTCTCCTCTCACACAGCTGAGAATTTTTGGGTTCCATGTTTTGAATTCCAACCTTGATATTGCTCTCTACAATTCCCCCAATTTATGCCTAAGAGTAACTACAGAGACTTAACTCCTAAGAGTAACTACAGAGACTTAACTCCTAGATTTTCAATATTTTTAAAAGGTTACTCCCATCCATCCACCTACCCAACCACCCCTCCACCCACCCCTCCATCCATGCATCCATCCATCCATGCATCCATCCATCCATGCATCTATCTATCCATCCATCCATCCATCCATGCATCCATCCATCCATGCATCTATCCATCCATCCATCCACCCATCCATCCATCCATCCATCCATCCATCCATCCATCTATCCATCCATCCATCCATCCATCCATGCATCCATGCATCCATCCACCCATGCATGCATCCACCCATGCATGCATCCATCTATCCATGCATGCATCCATCCATCCATGCATCCATGAATGTATCCATCCACCCACCCACCCACACAGCCACCCCCACCCATCCATCCATCACAAATGTACTACACTTCTCTCCTCACACTGGTTCTGAAATGCTTCCCTCAGGGAACCCTGAGGTTCAGAGAAGAGCCACCTTTTTCCCCAAGACCCAAGAGGACTGCTTGGCAAGCTCACCATAAGTTCATTTCCCCTCTCCATCCACATTTAGCTTAAAAGTTTATGCCAACTTTAGTGCCCACTTAAGTAAAGTCATGTGTTTTGATAAAACATCTTGCAAAAGTTTAGTAAACCTGACCTTTAGGGACACTGATGAAGCCTTCCTGAGGCCAATGCTCCCTGGTGTCTTCGAGGTCTCTGGGGACCAGGTTGGAGCAGCTGGGGCCTGCTTAGTTCCAGTGTCTGTAGCAGGAACATGGAAATCAAAAAATCCCCTTAAGGGCAGGGGCCCGACTTGTCTCCCCACCCCGCCATCCCCAGTCCCCCGAGTGGTATGCTCACTTAGCGGTCAGAGGACCCAGCACCCCCAGGGTGTCCCCTTTCACAGTGATACAGGTGGTGGGTCTCAAACTTAGGAGCAGCCAACTCTAAGCCCATAGCTCAGGGAGCTGTTTATCAGAGGAACTTGTGCTACTGAGCACTTCCAGTCTTGTAAGGAAAATATCTGGGTTTGCCCTCTGCAACAAAGGTCAGCTCAGGAAGAAGGGAGAACTGAGGGAGGTCCTGAGGCTGTGGAGAGGGATGAGAGTCTGGACTCCCCAGCCTGAGACGGGGGTTCTCCTAGGTCTCCCTTACCAGCCCTGAGAAGTCAGACAGGAACAAGACCTTCATGCCTCTGTTTCCCCGGGTGAAAAACAAGGCGTTTGATGGGATGGCCCTTATGGGTTTCTGGCTCCATGTTTCTGCTCATCATTTTGGTGTTCCTAGAATTTCTGTTTTATCATTACTATGCTTTTCTTTCCTCTTTTCTGAAAGTGCTGTGTACTTCACGCTTACCACATGAAAGCAACAGCTACCTCTTTTGCACTCTGCTCTCCTCTCCCTCCTCCTTCAATACTCACTCCTGTGTGTCTTAGGGGACCAGCAGCCCTGTTCTCAGACGGACGGCTCATCTGCTTGGGAGCGCATGTCAGGAGACTTGTTCCAGTCCCTGGGGCAGAACTGCCACAGAGTAGGCAAGAGAAGTCACACTTCAGAACTGACCTAGCATATTTTCTCAGCCAAGGATCTAAGATGATGCTCATATCCTTAAAGATTCTTCTCCTGTTCCTCTTTTCCTGATCAACACGAATGCCTGTTTGAGTAGGCCCATTCCACCCCATAATGAACATTCATTAATCTGAGTTAATAAAATGAGCATTTATTAAACGTCCAGTACTAATAAATAGTCAGCCATGTTTCTTTACAACAGGCCCCCAGCCCTCGTAAAAATGAAATAGTCTCAGTGACCTTTCAAAGAGATAATATGATGCTATGCTCTATAGTTAGAAAAGTTTGCCTCCACCACCACCTCACTGTGGTTTAAAAGGCCTGAAGCTAATTTTAGTTGTCTCACCGCACTGAGGTCCCCTAGCCTCCCCTGCCAAGCATTGAGGTCTTAAAAATCAAAGAAAGGAAAAAACAACAAGCTGCAAAACAAACAGAAGTGTAGAGACAGATCTGCTCTGAAGGACGCCTGCAAACAGCCAGCCAAGACAGTGCCCAGAACCTCCTGCCCTCAGGTTTTTGGGGCTTGCTTCAGCTATTCAGAGTGAGAGGGATCTTCTGGAATTTTATTTCCAAATGAACAGAACAGCAGGACATCACAGCTTACCTAAGCCCCTCCCTTCTGAGGTGCTAAAGTCCTGGACCAAGATGGATAAGAAGAGTGTGATCTCAGGCTGTGATTCATTGTTAAAAGACTGAATTTAGATTTAAAGCACAAAGACCAGAAGCAAGACTTTGAGGCTTCAGTTCCCACAGCCCTAGAGGTGGTGGCTTGTTGGAGCCAAGATCAGCTTCCTGAAGCTGGACTGGAGGTGAGCGGGGGCTCCGTGGTGCTCTGGGCTGGGTGCAAGCCCCCCACGGCCCACGCTCCTGAGTCCTCCATGCCCAGCTCCCACCCCTTGCTCCTACCTGTCCCCACTCGTCTCTACCAGCCTGTTGTTCATTATGGCAAAGGCGCCCACCCCCCCAGAGAATTCATTGTCCCGGGGCAGGGTGCTGGCCTGGTGGGGGCAGCCATTGGCTGTTTCTGACAACTGCTTCTGGAGGATGGCCAGCGAGACCTTGTTGGCTACCAAGAAGTCCTTCATGGAGATCATCTCCCCAGAGAGCCGCCGCCCATCTGTGTCACTCTCCATCACCCCGTCCGTGTCTATGGAGAGGTTGCCCCGGTTCTGGACGTGGCCAGGCATGACCACGTTCCTCCGGGACTGCAAGAACCCTCTCTGGCACAGCTGGCAGCACCTGCTGTCCATCTTCCTTAGGATCCAGTTCATGGACTGTTTGATGAGGATGGAGATGACGTTGAACAGAGAGTAGATGCAGCAGACGCCCATGAGGATGAAGACAAAGTTGGCAACGTGGTAGAGGCCTTGGCTGTCATACTGGGCGCTCTGGCTGCTGACTAGGTCCCCGAAGCCAATGGTGCTGAAGGCCACAAAGCAGAAGTAGAGCGAGTCTAAGTAGCTCCACCCTTCGAAGGAGGTGTACATGGCAGAGGCACAGCAGGAGATGAGGAGGGAGGCCAGGCACAGGATCAGCATGACATAGTACACGGACGGCTTCCAGCCGGCCAGGCTGTCCGCCTGCCTCTTCCCCGGGTTACTCGTGCTCTCCTGGGGCAGGGCCCCTCGTCGCTGGAGCTGCCGCTGGTGACAGGACTTCATGATGTAGGCGATGACGGTGATCAGGCGCTCTAGGAAGAGGTTGAAGAACAAGATGGTGCTGGCACAGCCAATGAGGCCATAGAAGATCAGGAAGATTTTTCCTCCCACTGTCACTGGAGTTGTCATCCCAAATCCTGCAGGAGACAAAAAATATCAGGAGAAAAGAGTGAGGGGAGGTCTTTGCTGTCGATGGGATCAGAGACATGGCTCTGAGGGTTGGCGAAAGGGCCTAATAGAACAGTTCAGGGGACAGCACAGTTCTTTGCCCTAAACTTCCTAGGAACGAGAGGAGGCCTCTCACTTCCTTTTGCAGTCATCAAGGGTTGGTCAGAGATGAGTTGCTGAAAGCCTCTGAGATGCCATTGTGCAAGTCAGAAAACAGGCAGCTCCTCCTACAGGTGCTGCAGGCAGTGAGAACGGCCCAGAGATGAGAATGTGGGCTGAGATTTCAGCTCCTCCTTGCCCCTCTGCTAGACGTCCTTGGCCAGTACACAACATGAACAACCGTACTCAACTAGCTCTGATAAAAAAAGGTGCATACAGAGAGAGACAAGACCTCTACCGACTCTTCAGAATTCATTTATTCTCTAAACACTCACTCAGTGTCATTCTAGGAATGAGAGTTACAATGAAGGAAAGGATGGATCTGGTCCCTGGCCTTGTGGCGCGCTTGTCTAGTGTGGTGATCACAATATCCGCAGAGCCCTATGGGACATTTTTTTTCCATATAACTATATTTAGTTATTTTTACATCACTCTTCATTTTGTGCATTTTTTTCATCTAATTTGTAATCCCCATGGACTTCCCACCACCAAATCACCCATGTGCCATCATCATGGGCCCGTGCGCTCTTCCTGCCCCAGTTTGGATCCTATTCCCATCTCCACCCCCCGGACAAATGTCTCTGGTTTATAGTTGTTCATTGTTTTTACTTTATTACAATTGCTTTCCCCCTGTCCCAGGATCCCTTACGCTCTTGCTATGAGTGAAACCATCCAGTATTTTTCTTTTTCTTTCTGGCTTTATTTCACTAAGCATGATCTTTTCCAGCTCCATCCATGTTGCTTCAAAAGGTATGTATTTATCTTTTTGATTGCTGAGTAATATTCCACTGTGTATATGTCCCACTTCTTCTTGATCCAGCCATCTATTTTTGGGCAGTTGGGCTGATTCTACATCTTCCCTTATGGAAGCTTCTAAGAGGTGCATCCTTTTCAGAGTTGGGGTTCTGAGATGTCTAAGCAAGGAGACTTGAAAGCTAATGAGGAGCCAGTTGGCAAGAGAGTGTGCCTATGTGTGCAAAGTAGGCATGTCTGTGTGTGTGTGTGTGATGGTGGTGATGAGAATGTTCTAGACAGAGAAACAACAGGTGCCAGCATGTGTAGAAATTAGAGCTTTGCTCAGGTGTTCCCAGATTTTAAACAAAAGTTTAAACATCTTTCAAACAAACATACACCTCAAGATCTGGGAGTGAAAACTGAGCTGTCGGTTGTTACAGAGTTTGATGAAATATGAAATGTTTTTCTTGCCACCTGCTGCTCATTCTTGACCTTTCTACCCACATAGACACGGCACTAAGAATATCCACTGAGGACAACAGATGCCACTAAGAAGAATGAGCAATAGAAAGAGCAGTGATCCGCTTAGCCTGTCTCTCTGAGGGGCATGGGACGCGTGTGTCACTTCAACAGTTCATGCCATTTAATCCGTTCAAAAATCTGTCCCGACCCACATAGTTCCTTCTCCCTGTATTTCACAGGTGCACAAATGAAACTGTCACCTTTGGTGCTTTTCAATACACGATTCCTGGTGCTTCAAGCCTGAGGTCATGTGAATTGTGTCCAGCCCTGGGGGGCTGATGTCTAGCTGATGGGAGGCCTGTGGAACGTGGGCAGGTGGCGGCCAAGGACACTCTCCTGGAGGTCGCCTTGGTCTAGCTCCCTCAAACCATTTCAGATCTGTTTTAAGGAGACTGTAACCCCTTAGACAGCTCTGGGGACAACCCAGATTCCCAGGAACAGAGTGACCAGAGGGGCCCTGGACAGCCCCACCAGGAGAGGGGAGTAAGCCTCCCAGTGTGCTGCCAACTCTATATTCTTTCAAAAATATAGTCAAGGTCGAAAATGTACAAGTTTCGTTTTGTGTCTGTCAGAGACCAAGTTAAAGCAGATGCTATAGAGCCTCACTTCCCAGCATGTGGCAACACTTGCCAATGGCATTGCTCCTGTACCGGCCGTTCCCTTTATTTTTCTGGAGTGTTTTAAAGTAAATCCAGGCTTTATTTTCCAACATAACTATTAGGCCATTATCATACCTAAAGGAGTTAACATGAATTTCTTAACATCAAATGGTATCTGGGCTATGCTCATGCCTCTAAAAAATAGGTGTTTTTTTTTAAGATTTATTTATTTATGCATACAAGAACTGGGGTACATCCCAGAGGTACAGGGGTGAGAGGATTCACCAGAGACAGAGTGGGGAGCAGAACAGGCAGATCTACTGAAATACACAGCTCAGGGGAGCAGTGGGGAGACAGGAGAGGTCTGCTGCGCCATGTGGGTCAGCTCCCTGGCCGGGGATCAAACGTAGGCTGCAGTAGCTGCAGATAGCTTCATAGCGCTGGGACTTAACCCCTTGTGCCATAGGGAGGCCCTCAGAAAACCCCTTTATGCACCTTACATACAAAATTCCCCTTAAATCTCATAAATCAGCAGCAAGTCACTCCTGAAACCAGGCTTCTACAAGATTTCCTCTTGGATGAATCAGGGTTCAGCCCAGTCCCTGGGGGAAGAGATGAAGCCTGGAACCACCAGTACCTTCTGCAGACAACCCAGCAAAAACAACATAAAGGGGAAAAAACAAAATTCCTCATCAGGTAGTTTCAAGCACAGTAATAACAAAGGTGATTTATTTTCCCAAATGTTTTATCACTTTCATTACCTTTAAACTGAGAATAATGTTGTAATATTCTGGCATAACGTCGAGTCTTCTAATTACCTAGGATTGCAGGCGTCCCCTGGTTCAGAAGTAACCCTTTTACCTCATTCTCCATATGCAGAGAAATCAACATTTGATGTTCATGTACTTTTTCAAAATCTTTTTGATTTGGCAATTTTAAGCCTCTTTGTGTGGGATGAAACTCCTGAGGAGTTTGTGGGTGTTTTTAAAAAAGACTCCAATTTCAATTTTGATGGAAAAAGGAGGCAAGAACAGACCTCTTGGATGATTCGGGGTTGGGGGGACATTCGGAATTTCAGGAAGGGGGCTGGGGTGATGGAGAGGCGGAGCGCGGGTGGGTGTACCCTTGAGGTCCTCACCGGGACCTGCAGCTGTCCCAGAGGAGGGGACTTGACAGCGTTCCAGCCAGGCTTTTGTTACAGGTAGGGAAACTGAGGTACCAAGAATCCGTGAGCTTTCCTAAGACATGAAGGCCTACATCCAGATTCTCCACCCACACTAGCGTCCTTTACTCTGGCAGCCAGTGGTCAGTTATTTCTGAAGATGGTATGGAACAGAGTGCTCCCATCTCTCTGGGCACCTGTGATTCCTTTCGGTAAGCAAAAAAAGCCTATTTCTCTTCTCCTTGAAGGCTGAAGGCCCTTCAGACCTGCTCTGCCTGCTAGTGTGGGAAGATGCTGTCCTGGTTCCGGACTTAACCAGCCATTTCCACCTTCCCTCTCTGGACCCTCAGTCACCTCGGAAGAGGGACAACCAGCTGCTGAAGGGAGTGCTGGGCTCCCCCAGCCTCACAGATACGATGCCATCTTGGGCGTTCCAGCCCCAGTGAGCCCTCACAGGGCTGCAGGCACGTGTGTTAACTGGTTGCACCACAGACAGTCAACACCCCCAGCTGAGCCAGCAGAGGCAGACAATTGTGCGAAACACCATGTGGTTGCCGAAGCTACCAGTTTGGGGAGGTCGTCTCTCTGGCACTTGGGATTTTTTTCCACAAGCCTCTTCTGCCTTCTTTTCCTTTCCCTCCAGTTCCTTCCTCCACTTTTCAACCATAATTGTGTACAGGGACTTACAGGCGTTTTAAGAAGAGGCCTGTGAGGGATTTGGAATTCAGTGGAAATGTCACTTGTAAATCAGCATGTTGTTGAAGCTTTTGATCTGACGGAACAGGGTGTGCTCCTGCCTCATTTTAACCACCTGAGAGGCTGCAGTGGTTTTGACGAGCACTTTCTTGATGTCCATGCTGAGCATCTTTCACTGTGTCTCAGGGTACTTTGGGCATCCTTCTTTGCACCGGCCCACGTTTGTGCATTTCCTGCTTTCTCACTGGCTTCCAGGTGGCGCAGTGATGCCCAGGGCCTGAGTGCGGCCTCGAAGGGCCCCAGGCTCGCTGATGGACTTCTGCCGCGTTCACACCCTAGGCTGGCTTTCCCGTGCTCTGCTGGGCCATCCTTCTGTCTTGTATATCACTTATTTCTCTGGTGAAGAATTACTTCTAACATTTCTTATGTTACTCAATATTCCACATGGTGTGTAGATTTTGAGAACATATATATTGACAGTGTTTTTTTTTTTTTTTAAAGATTTATTTATGCACACCCCATAAGAACTAGGGTACAGGCCAAAGGTGCAGGGGCAGTTAAGAGGCTTCATCAGAGACAAATTGGGGACTGAAATACACTGCTGAGGGGAGCAGTGGGGAGACAGGAGAGGTCTGCTGGGCCGTGTCGGTCAGCCCCCTGTTTGGGGATTGAACTCGTGCTGCAGTGGCTGTGGATTGCTTCACAGTGCTGTGCTTCTACCTCTTGTATCACGAGGAAGGCCCGCTATTGACAGCGTTATTAGCCACTTCCTGAGCGTGGAACACAGAACAGACCCCTCCAGGGCTGGCTAATGGCTGCTGAGGGATCACCTGAATTCAAACTCTCACTTACCTCTTCACACAGTGTGTCCTGTGCTCAGTGACACCAGGCAATATAAAAACAACAGAAAATGCTCATGGCATGAGCAGGCGAGGAATTACATGGGCAAACCAGGGTTGGGCCCTGTACGCTGTGGCTTTACACCAACATGCTGACATAGTCTGCAGGAAACAAGCCACTTGCAATCACGTCACAGCTGAGTGGCTGCTGTGCACTGAGGACAGAGGTTGCCTGTGCTTTCCAGTGTCCAGGCTCT